ATGTGTACTACTGTTTCATGAGAAACTATTTGTTCTGTAAACCTTCACCTGAAGTACAATCAAAAAAAAAAAAAAAAAGAAGAGTCAATGGATGCGGCAAACTTCACTGCTGTCTTATTTTAAGAAATCACCACAACCACCGCAACCTTCAACAACCACCACCCTGATCAGTCAGCAGCCACCAACACTGAGGCAAGACCCTCCACCAGCAAAAAGATTGCAACTCCCTGAAGGCTCAGATGATGGTTAGCATTTTTTAGCAATAAAGTATTTTTTAATCAAGGTATATATATTGTTTTTTTAGATATAATGCTATTGCACAATTAATAGGCTACAGTATAGTGTAAATATAACTTTTATACGTACTGGGAAACCAAAAAATTTGTGACTTGCTTTACTGCAGTGGTCTGGAACCTAACCCACAGTATTTCTGAGGTATGCCTGTACTGATGTGAGAAATAATAGCCAGAGGGAAAATGGTATTTACTCTTCTTTGTTTTCATAATACTATGTGTATCCCTTGTTGGGGTATATAGCACTTATATCACATTTTATCATTACTTGCCTAATTTCCCTGCTAGACTACAAATTCTGTAAGGGCAGGAACTGTGTCTAATTTACCACCATAACCCCCAATGCCTATTAAAGTACCTAGTACATAATAGGCCCTAAACATATGTTGAATGAATGAAGTTTCTTTTCCCCACCCCCAAAAAATCTATCCTTCTACAAGCCTTTATTTTCCAAAAATGACATATCTATATAAGCTTAGTTCTTAATTAAGATGATTCATCTTCTTTTGGAATGAAGCAGGATTATAAATAAATTTAATTGCTCTTAACTATATAGTATTACTCCATTAGCAATTGTTGTTGTTGGGTGGTACTGAGTCAGTTTTGACTCACAGCAACCCTATGTACAAAAGAACAAAACACTGCCTGGTCCTGTGCCATCCTCACAATCATTGCTACATTTCAACCCTTTGTTGCAGCCACTGTGTCAATCCATCTACTGAGGGTCTTCCTTTTTTTCACTGACCCTCCACTTTACATGGGGAAGCATGATGTCCTTCTCCAGGAACTGGTCCCTCCTGATAACAGGTTCATAGTACTTGAGATGAAGTCTTGCTCATCCTCACTTCTAAGGAGCATTCTGGCTGTACTTCTTCTAAGACAGATTTGTACATTCTTCTGGCAGCCCATGGAATATTCAATATTCTTCACCAACACCATAATTCAAATACATCAATTCTTCAGTCTTCCTCATTCTTTGTTTAGATTTTGCATGGATAGAGGCAACTGAAAATACCATGCCTTGGGTCAGGCACACCTTAGTCCTCAAAGTGACATCTTTAAAAGACTTCAAAGAGGTCTTTTGTAGCAGATTTTGCTCAATGCAATACGTCATTTGATTTCTTGACTGTTGCTTGCATGGATGCTGACTATGGATCCAAGTAAAATGAAATCCTTGACAACTTCTATATTTTCTCCGTTTATTATGATGTTGCTTATTGGTCCAGTTGTGAGGATTTTTGTTTTCTTTATGTTGAGGTGCAATCCATACTGAAAGCTGTAGTCTTTGATCTTCATCTGTAAGTGCTTCAAGTCCACTTCACTTTCAGCAAGGAAGGTTGTGTCATTGGCACATAGCAGGTTAATGAGTCTTCCTCCAATCCTGATGCCATTTTCTTCTTTATATAGACCAGCTTCATGGATTATTTGCTCAGCATACAGACTGAATAATTAAGGTGAAAGGATACAACCCTGACATACACCTTTCCTGACCTTAAACCACTCAGTATCTCCTTGTTCTGTCTGAATGACTGCCTCTTGGTCTACGTACAGGCTCTGCATGAGCACAATTAAGTGTTTTGGAAATCCCATTCTTCACAATGCTAACCATAATTTGTTATGATCCACACAGTCGAATGCCTTTGCATAGTCAATAAAACACAGGTAAACCTCTTTCTGGTACTCTCTGCTTTCAGCCAAGATCCATCTGACATCAGCAATGATATCCCTCCTTCAACACCCTCTTCTGATCCTGGCTTGAATATCTGGCAGTTCCCTGTCAATATACTGCTGCAACCATTTGTGAATTACCTTTAGTATAATTTTACCTACGTGATATTAATAATATTGTTCCATAATTTCTGCATTCCATTGGATAACCTTTCTTTGGAATGGGCACAAATATGGATCTCTTCCAGTCGGTTGGCCAGGTAGCTGTCTTCCAAATTTCTTGGCATAAATGAGTGAGTGCTTCCAGCACTGCATCCATTTGCTGAAAAATCTCATTTGGTATTTCATCAATTCCTGGAGGCTTATTTTTTCACCAATGCCTCTGATGCATTTCTTCACCTTTGGCATTAATGATTGGTGCATAAATTTGAATAGTCAAATTAACTTGTTTTCCTTGTAGGCATATGAATAATGTCCTATCACTGACAACACTGTATTTCAGGATAGATCCTGAAATGTTCTTTCTGATGATGAATGTGATGCCATTCCTCTTCAATTTGTCATTCCCAGCATAGTAGTCCATATAATCATCTGATTCAAAATGGCCAATACGAGTCCATTTCAGCTCACTAATGCCTAGGATATCTATTTTCAAGCATTCCATTTCATTTTTGACATCTTCCAATTTTCTTTGACTCATACTCTGTTCCAATCATTAATGGGTGTTTGCAGCTGTTTCTTCTCATTGTGAGTCATGCCACATTGGCAAATGAATTTCCCAAGAGCTTTACTCTATCCATGTTTTTAAGATTGACTCTGTTTTAAGGGAGCAGCTCTTCCCCAGTCTATTCTGAATGTCTTCCAACATGAGGAGCTCATCTGCCAGCATTATATCAGACAATGTTCCACTGCTATCCATAAGGTTTTCACTGACCAGTTTTTTCAGAAGTAGATCGCCAGGTCCTTCTTTCCAGTCTGTCTTACTTAGTTCAGAAGCTCCTCTGAAACCTGTTCACCATGGATGACCCTCCTGGTATTTGAAATTCCAGTGGCATAGCTTCTAGCATTACAGCAACACGTAAACCACCATAGTACGACAAACTGACCGATGAGTGGTGGCATTAGCAGTTAGGGAGATGCAAATCAAAACTGCAGTAAGATACCACTTTACTCCCACTAGGATGACTAAGAAAAAGAAAAAAGAAAAGAAAACAACAAAAGTTGGCAAAAATGTGGAAAAACTAGAACGTTCATCCATTTCTGGTGGGAATGCAAAAACAGTACAGGCATTGTAGAACACAGCTGGCAATTTCTCAGAAAGTTAAACATAGAACTACCATATGATCCTGCAATTCCACTCCCAGTATATACCCAAAAGAATTAAAAGCAGTTACTCAAACAGACACATGTACACCAATGTTCCCAACAGCCACAAGGTGGAAACAACCTAAACGTCCATCAACGGATGAATGGATAAACAAAATATGAAATGCAATATTACTCAGCCATAAAGAAAAATGAAGTTCAAATAAATGCTACATAAGGAATAAAGAAGATGGATGAAGAACTGATGCACCTGGTGTTGGTGAAGAATATCGAATATACCATGGACTGCCAGAAGAATGAACGAGTCTGTCTTGAAAAAGTACAGCCAGAGTGCTCCTTAGAAGCAAGGATGGAGAGACTTCATCTCACTTACTTTGTACATGTTATCAGGAGAGACCAATTCCTGGAGAAGGGCATCACGCTTAGCAAAGTAGAGAGTCAGCAAAAAAGAGGGGGCCCCTCAATGAGATGGACTGAAACAATGACTCTAACAACGGGCTTAAACAGCAACAATTGTGAGGATGGTGCAGCACCAGGCAACATTTTGTTCTGTTGTAGACAGTGTCACTACGAGTTGGAATCGACCTGACGGCACCTAACAGCAACAATAAATGGTACAACATGGATGAACCTTGAAAAAATTATGCTGCGTGAAGCAAGTTAGCCACAAAAGGGCAAATACTGTATGAGCCCACACATATGGAATATTTAGAATAGGTAAATGTATAAAAACCAAAGTTTATTAATGCTTACCAGGAGGGTGGGTAAGGGGGGAAGAGGGATTATTGTTTACGAAGCAGTGAGTATCCATTAAAGGTGCTAGGGAATTTGGCAACAGATACAGGTGAGGGTTGTACACATGATTAATGTAATCAGCATCACTGGGTTGTGCATGTGAAGAGTGTTGCATTGGCAAATGTTAGGCTATATATGTTTTTACCACAATGTAGTGGGGCGGGGGACAACCCTTGCCCGAAGTTATATAGTTAGTGAGTGGCAGATGTAGGATTCAAACCTAAGCAGTCTGACTCCACAGCCTATACTCTTATCCCTACCCCATATTGCCTATGGAGCAGAAGCAAAAGATCATGCCAGGGGTGAGAACAGCATGCCATGTGCGTATGCCTAACTCAGTTCCACGCATCTGAGATCCAAACAAGGGGGAAAATATTTTTAATTACAAGATCTCATTTGTTTCTCACAACTCTAAGCCAAGTGCTTATATAAAATGAGTAGGTAGATTATATATCTGATCCCTTCTGCCTCTAAAATTTTGACTCTACAATCCTAATCTTTGACTTTATATTCCCTATCATGAAAGGCCAGCTTGAGTACATCGCACTTGTGAAAAAAAGAAGAAATATTACTTTTTCACTTTTCTAGGACAGTCTAACAACATCAGAGTAATTAATTCTCAACACAAAGTAGGTCCTTTCAGCAGGTGGGTATCTATTTTAAGTTCTAGGTTTAGCAAACAAAGACATTACCGCTGCTGTGTTTATACATATAATACTAACACCCCTTGCCATATTAGTAATATCTTTACTAAGAGGGGAACACTGTAACTTTAGCCACCGAGGCTGCAAGTATTTCAGGGATTGTGTGATCGTAAAAACAGCTACGACATTTAGCTTAAAATAAAAATAGAGTAAAATACAAAGTAATCTTACAGTAGAATGCTTCCAAAAATGAATAATGTCATCAATATCTGTTGCAGGATTAAATAAAAAGTAGCTCCTCCATTCATTCCAGTCCACTGTCAAAGTCCCATCACTATCAATGCTGAAATTGAAAAAAAAAAAAGTGCTTGTAACATTTATAACAAAGTTAGCACCATTATAAAAATCAATTAAATGCTTCTTAAATATTTCAGCAGTCATTCCTTTGGGCTTTATGAATATCACTGTATTTCCACATTGTTTTTTTGTTTTTGTTTTTTTAAGTAGACTTTATTTTTTAGAACAGTTTTAGATTTTCAGAAAAATTGAGAAGTACAGAGAGTTCCCATTTTATCCCACAATCATATCCCACACCCAGTTTCCCTTATTATTAACATCTTACATTATTATGGTACATCCGTCACAATTAATGAGCCATTATTGATACATTATTATTAACTAAAATCCGTATTTTACTCAGATTTCCTTAGTTTTTACCTAGTGGCCTCTCTCTGTCCCAGGATCCCATCCAAGATACATATGACATTCAGTCAACATGTCTCCTTAGGCCCCTCTTGGCTGACAGTGCCTCAGACTTTCCTTGTTTTGGGATGAACTTGATGGTTTTGAGGAGTACTATCAGGTATTTTGTAGACTGCCCCTCTATTGGAATTTGTCCCATATTTATTTTTATTTATTTGTGAGCTTTTGAAGGGAAAGATTATTTCTAAGTCACTTTTATAACCCTAGCACTGAGTACTCAATAAATTTTGAATGAATACTGTATCTTTATGCGAATAATGCACACCTTCTGCATTTGTTTCCCAGCTGCACCCTCCCCCTTCGAGGCATCCTCACAAGCGCCGCCATGCTGCCAATCCTCTTCCACATGTTGCTGTAAAACAAAATTAGCAGAGTAGGCTTATGAAAATACCTTGCAGGGGGAGGGCACAGCTGGCAAAAAATGCAGAAGGTGTGTGTTATTTGAGTAAAAATAAATGATAATATTTACTGAAGACTAATCTTATACATTTTGACTCTTCTAGTATTTTTTTATCATTCACTATCTTCTCCCCATTATAGCTATTAAACTGAATTTAAAATAACCTTTTATTGATGAATTTAAGACTTTCACTTTTTAACATGCAGAATTCAGGATTTAATCAATTTTTAACTATCTCGGATCAAAACAACCATCAGAAATTGTTTCCCTAGTATATGAATAAAAGGTACAGTTTAGTGAAAACTTTTTCAATGACATTCTTATACACGGAAATTCTAAAAAACAAATTCCATTCTTCCAAAAAAAAAAGATTAGTACAACTTCCATTTCCAGTCAAGATGAAATAATGGATATAGAACTTATCATCCCCCTGCAAACAATTATGAAACTGGACACAATACGTGAAGCAACTCTTTTCAGGTACCAGACTACATACAGGACAGAGCTGTGATCCTCGAGAAAAGGAAAACACATGAGATGAGTTTCCCATTCATTCTGGTTTCTGCATGGAGGCACTTTCCAAACTGTATCATAGAAAAGCAGAAGCCTAAACAGAGAGCGATGAGTTCACTAGTGAGAGGAAACAGACTGGAGCTCAGGACTGCTGAGATGGCAGATGATACAGGTACCCCTTTGAATCTTTGACCAAATACTAAGCTATACATGACTCCATTAGCCTGAAAAAAATAGCTACTGGAACTTAATGGAAATTCTGTAACTTAGAGATGTTGGAGTTCCAAAAGAAAAAGAAAGCAAGAGATATAGGAAGGATGGAAGGATGGAAGGAAGAAAGGGAAAAGAAAAGGAGGAGAGGTAAGAAAAAAGGGAAACATTACATACGGAGGGGGAATGAAAAGGGCAACCACTGACTTATCAGAAACAATGCACGCTAGTAGACATCTTTCATGGTATCTTTAAAGTGTAAAAATAAAACTGTCAACCTAGACTACTATATACAACAAAAATATCCTTCAAAAACGAAGGTGAAATAGATATTTTCAGATAAAATAATTAGTACAAAATTCACCAATAAGCAGCATGCCCCTACCTTATTCTGTTTTACTTATGACACCGTATGGTAATCACCTAGTTTTATCGCCCCTACCAGCCTACAACCCTGAAGCAGGAACTTCAGCTTTTTCACAATTGCATCCCTTGTACCTATATTTTGAATAAATGGTTGATATCAGCAATCTATAATTTATCTTAGAGTATGACTTAGCAGCATATTACCAATATTTCAAACAGTTTATAATTTTGTGAGTAATAGCTTTTAAAATATCCCTTATCATACCAATGGGGGGAACCCACAGACCAGTAAAACTACCAGATTTCTATCAAACTTGTTCTATTTATTAATTCTTTTTAAAAAACAACTTGTTTTAATTATAAGAAACCTTATTTCTTGTGTAACATTATGATTATAGAACATATTCTGAATGATTCCAATTCTCTTTTTTTTATTTCTTTTATGACTCAGCATATGGTCAATTCTTACAAGTTTTCTGTACGTGCTTGTCTTAGTCATCTAGTGCTGCTATAACAGAAATATAACAGAAATTTCTCTTGGCTTTAACAAAGAGAAATTTATTTTCTCACAGTCTAGTAGGCTAGAAGACCAAATTTAGGGCGTCAGCTCCAGGGGAAGGCTTTCTCTGTTGGCTCTGGAGGAAGGTACTTCAAGTCAATCTTCCCCTGGACTAGTTGCTTCTCTGCGCAGGAACCCCGGGTCCAAAGGACGCACTCTGCTCCAGATGCTTTTTTCTTGGTGGTATGAGGTCCCCACTCTCTGCTTGCTTTCCTTTCCTTTTATCTCTTATAAGATAAAAGGTACTGCATGCCACATTCCAGGGAAACTCCCTTTACATTGGATCAGGGATGTGAACTTAGTAAAGGTGTTATAATCCCACCCTAATCCTCTTTACCATATAATTACAATCATAAAATGGAGGACAACCACACAATACTGGGAATCATGGCCTAACCAATTTGACTCATATATTTGGGGGGCACAACTCAATCCATGACAGTGCTTAAAATAATGCACACTTTACAGTTTTTGAGTACAATATTTTATGCGTTTGTTAGGTAAAGATTGATAATTGTATTGTTTAAATATTCTGTTCTTACTGATTCTTTTCTATCTGCTTGGTCTATTAGTTACTGAGAAAGTTGTAATAAAATCTCCTACTATAATCATGAATTCATCTATTCTTGCTTATAGTTTTGTCAATTTTTGCTTTATAAATTTGAGGCTTAGATTTATACAAATTTAGAATTGTTATATCTTTGGGTGAATTAAACTTCTAATATTATAAAATGCCCCCTTTTGAATTTTAGTAGTTTTTCTTTTTCCCATCTTTTTTCTTTCAACTTTTATATTTAATGAAATATATACTTCTTGCAACAGTATGTAGTTAAGTTTTGTCAAAGGCAACAACAATAACAAAACAGATTTATGTCTTCAAGGACTTAAGATAATGGGACTGTCAGATACAAGATATAAATTAAGTATAGTCTATTTTAATAAGCAAAGGATTGATTCTGAAAAATGAGCAAGGAATAAAAAATTATAATGAATTATCAAACACATTTGAAAAAGAAACAAATGGAACACCTATGAATAAAAAATATAATTAAAAAAACTGAATTGAACAGATAAAGGAAGAAAAGACACCGATGAAGAAAGAATTAGTGACTGGAAGATACATTTGAAGGGCTTGATAGAATGCAGTGCAGAAAAACAAGAAAACAGAAAATATAAAAGATGAAAAATTAAAGAAAATGGAGGGAGGCTATATTTAAAGCACTAAAGACATAATTTTCCAAAATTGATAAAAGACATAGAATCCACAATTTCAGGAAGTTCAGCATACCCAAGCAGAATTAATAAAGTCAGGCCTACTCTCTAGATAAAAAGATGCAGAACACCAAAGACAAAAATAAAATTGTAAGAGGGGGCAGACGGAAAATACAGATCTCCTACCAGGGACCAACAATCAGACTGACCCAAGCAACAGTGGAAGCTAGAAGACAGTAAAATAATAGCCCAAAGTGCTGAGAAAAAAAATAACCGTCAAACTAGAATTGTGTGCCTAGTAAAACACTCTCTCAAAAACAAAAGTAGAATAGAGATGTTTTCAGATGTTCAAAAACCAAAAGTTAAGGACTAATAGATTTTCACTAAAGGAATTTCCAAAGGATATAGTTCATAAAGAAGGAAATTGATCCTGGAAGGATAGTCTGGAATGCAAGAAAGTCTGGTAGGCAAATAAAATGCTAAATAAAAGTACATTTGTGCAGTTAAAAAGAGAACAAAGATAGAATAGAAATCAGAATAGGAGTGACTGGAGTTAAAAATGTCCTAAAGTCTTTCTATTGTCTAAAAAGAGGGTAAAGATTTGCTTAATTCTAGTCTTTAAATTAAACTTGCACAGTAAAATTTCAATACCAACTACTAACAAGAAACAAAATGTATAAATTTCAAACCAGTAAAGAAAAAAAACTGAATAAGGAAAAAAATTGAGAAAAATATACTAAAAAGCGTGAAAGGGAAGCACAGAAAAAAACGAGACAAATGAAAATCAAAAATATCACAGTAATAGAAATAAGTCCAATTACTGTAAATCAATAATTCCAATAAAAGGTCACCAGTTAAAAACAGAAATTTTCACATTGGATAAAAAGTAAAACTCAGATATAAGTTGTTTACAACAGACAAACTCAAACATATGGGTGTAAACCCATTGCCTCAAAGTCGATTCTAACTTAGTGACACTATAGAACACAGCAGAGCTGCCCCATAGAGTTTCCAAGGCTGTAATCTTTATAGAAGCAGACTGCCACATCTTTCTCCCATCAAGTGGCAGGTGGATTTGAACCACCAACTTTTTGGTTAGCAGCCGAGTGCTTAACCACTACACCACGAGGGCTTCTTTTCAAAAAGGCATACAAAGGTTAAAGGTAAATTATGGAAAATACTGACAAAACAAAAAGCTAGATTAGTACTGTAATAATATCAGACAAAACAGACTTCGCTACACAATGATAAAATATTCAATTTGCCAAAAAGATTAACAATTCTGAAGTTGTCTGAACCTGAAAAGTGCCTCAAAGCACATAAGGCTAAACATAAAATAACTTCAAGGAGAAATTAAAAATCCATCTTCATAGTGGGACATTTCAATCTCTCAGTCATTTATAAGTCAGGCAGACATATGAACAACAAAATTAGCAAAATTCTTTTGAGGGACATTATGTAGAGCCCTACATGCAACAATTAGAAGATACACACTCTTCAAGCACATATGGAACATTTATAAAAATTCTCACTGTTCTAGGCCTTAAAATAAACCTCAAAAAATTTCAAACAATCAGTATCATAGAGCCCATATTCTTTAACCAACATCGCAATTGTGTTAGAAGTCAATAACAAAGAAATAATTCTCTAAAAATTACCACCACATTTTTAAATTTAAAAACATACTTCTAAGTAGACAATGTGAAAAAAAAAACTATTATTATTTATATTGTCTCTGTCCCTTTATATAAAACCACAATGGTTTCAATTTTAGAATCCCTTCTTCAAACAAAATCTTCCTGAAAGTTTAACATAGAAAACAAATGAATGTAGACCTATTCTGGCTCAAGCAACAGTAGGAAGCCAGGAGCTCATCCTGGTCTGCCTTGCCACTGCTCCTCTCACACGTACACAGAGGGGCCCAATGAGTACAGTTTGAAAAACTATTACACTGCAAGTATGTGGAGTTTCATTTGGCTTCTGCTGCCTAAACGGTCAACCTAAGCAATGACTTTGCAAGTTGCTTTTAAAGGGATACATTTAAGATGAGACATAATTAACCAAATACAATAAGCAATTTTGTTCACAAAGTTGTAGAATAGAAGAAAATTGCCCCATGTATAGAAATTAGTTTCTAACATGTAACATTAGACAAAAATAAAAACGTTAAAAATAAGGATAAGGGCTGACCTTTGTACAATTTTTTTTGCCTGAGCTTCAGAAGCATTTACACCCAGTGATTTCAGAGCAGCAATTACTTTTGAAGTTTCAATTACTCCTTCAAAAAGTGGGAAAAAAAATCAAATTAAATCATTTGAAAAGATAACAAGAGAAAAAATTACTTAGAATGCAATAGTCTGAAAAAGTTTAAGTTTTACATAGGCCTGTAATCCCATATTTACAACCCAAAACCTAAAAAGCTCTAAGAACTAAAAGACTTCTTATAAATTTGGCACCAAAATTCCTTTGATGCCTATCTTAGCGTGAGTTCTCCAGAGAAGCAAAACCAGTAAAGCATACAAATATATACAGAGAGAGATTTATATCAAGGAAATGGATCATGCGGTTGTAGAGGCTGGAACATCCCAAGTCTGTGGATCAGGATAGAGGCTTCTCCTGGTTCACATAGCCACAGAGGCTGGTGAACCCAAGATCAGCAGGTCAGAGAGCAGTGCTCTTGCTCACAGGCTGTGAAGACTGACGAATTACAAGATTGGCAGGCAAGACCGCAGGTAAGCTGCTAGCTCAAGTCCCAAGAACGGGAGGTCAGAAGAACAGGAGTTAGCAGCAGGATTCAGAACAGGCAAAGCCAGAACGTCTGCTTATATTAAAATGCAGGCCACATGCCCAAGGAAATTCCCTTTCAACTGACTGGCTACTCATAGCAGATCCCATCATGGGGGTGATCACATATCACATCTCAACAGGGAAGTGATCACAACATTATACGACTTCCAAAACACTGATAATCATGGCCCAGCCAAGTTGACACACATCTTAAACCATCATAATGGCAAAACTTGTCTTAAACTAATGTGAGGTTAATTTTCGTCAGTTAGTTATCTAACTTCATGTGAACATTCATGTTTCACCGCAGAAATACTCATGTATATAATTACACAGCCCTGCCCCAGAGTGCAGTTGGACTATTACATTGTATGCATTGTATTACTTTTTAAAAACCCTAATTCTAAATTTCAAAACATATACGGCCTCAACAATTTCCAATAAGGGATTGTGAATCTGAAATAGATCCTTGTTTATTGTACCCACTTATAATTTTTAAAAGTAATCCTGGAGATCTGATTCAGGCATGTGAAAATAAAGCCAATCAACATTTTATAAAGCAACCTTTCAAAACCCAACATATTTAAAATAAAACACAACACCAAACCCTTTTAATAGAACCATATCCTGTGTCAAATAACTCAAATCAACTAATATATTTAATATGAGCCTTTTATGCATTCCACTCACACATTGCTGGATGTTGTAAAAGAAAAATTAAGTATTCCATATTCCTCAAGCTCTAAAATACAGATCTAATCATGTTACACCTAAAGTCAAAAAAATCTTTGATTCCTCTCTTATGTAAAATAAATAGTTGAAGATATTCCATCTTTTGAAATATTACGACTTTTTTATGTCAAAAAAATAATGCAGTGTCTCCTAGGTGAAAAATACGTAATGTCAAAAGGCTACAATAAATTCAATCACTTTTAATTTGTATTTTATCAACCACAGCCGCATCTGCATACATTTATACACAGCAGTGCAGGTATGTGTGAGACATTTATTTAGCCCATAGACAAAGCCCAGTACTCATACATGGAATCTCAGACTCTTTATAATGACTCCCCAAATCAGTAGTGTTCGAAGGTCCACAAGATGATGGAATTTACTGTTCTATGCCTAGCCTAGAAATCAAAGTTATCTTTAGTTGGGGAAGCTGGATCCTCTTCCTTGTGTCCCATTATAACCTCCAAACACTATACTTACCAATTCAATTGAAAAAAATTTTTTTGAGAACCTATCATGCAAATCACTATGCTAAACTGGGGAGAATCCAAAGATTAATAAAACAACTTCCTCCAAAGAGTTTACCAGCTTGTATGGATGCATTTGGAGCCCTGGTGGCACAGTGGTTAAAAGCTTGGCTGCTAACTGAAAAGGCTGGCAGTTCGAATCCACCAGCTGCTCCTTGGAAACCCTATGGGGAAATTCCACTCTGTACTATAGGGTCACTACGAGTGGGAATTGACTCAACAGCAATGAGTTTGGTTTGGTTTCCATAAATGTATTAATTACTTAAAGAATATATCAAACTGTGCTAAATGCATGCTATGAAGAGTTATATATAAATAAAGAAATGAAGTCCAAGAGTCACAAATGAGGAACTATAAAAGATAAACAAGAGACTACCACAGAAACAAAAGTATTTCAACAGAAAGTACAGTTGAGCAAAGTATACTTCTTTATTTAGCAAAGATGTATTGAGGATTTACATATGGTATTAGAAATCAGGATAACAGGTGCCTTGTGAGTGGTAGTGATTTGGAAGGGTACAAAAGAGATGCTGGTAAATTTTCTGAGTTGTATACTTATAATTTATGCACTTTGCTGTATATGTTATATATCAATGAAATCTTCCCCCCAAATAGTAAGTTGCGGCCAAGCTTGAAAGGCCATATTAACCAACTCTGACCTTGCCTGGAAATTTCCCAACTCTGCCTTTGTTCAAGCTATTCTCTCTGTCCAAGAAACTCTTTCTTTTCACATCTGTTTATATATTGGCCCAGCATAAATCTAAATTGATTGCACGTGGTACAATTAAGCTCTCTGAGTATCACTATTACAGAAATTATCATAGTCTACTTTGAGTAGGGCTAGTTATATCTATTCTTATTCCACCCAAAACTGCTTCTGAAGAATTTTAACACAGTTCCTAGCACACTGGCTCACATATACTGCTCAAAAACCATTTTCTTGATTGAACTAAAACATATTAAGTAATCCTTAACATAAAGAAGCTAACAATTTAAGATGTAGGAAAAAAAATTAGATAATGCAATCCAAAACATAATGAAGTCCTATGGACCAAAAGGTAAAATTAATGTTGACTTTAATTATGTGTAGCAAGCTTTCATTGAGGAGATGGACTTGAGATGTATTTAATGAAATGAGAGTATTCAGATGGATGGAGAAGACTTTCATTATTCCAGTTTTATAATTCCATGGAGAACTGCAAAATATTCCATACCTGTGCCAGTGATCTATTGCTAAGTAAGAAACCACCTCAAAATTTAGTGGTTTAAAATAAATATATTTGATCATGAGGATTGAGTCTGAGCTTGGCTCAACTGGTTGGTCATTCTTCTGGTCTTGCCTGGGTCACTCATATGAATTCAACAATATGGAAGTTTGACTGCAACTAGAAATCCAAGATGGATTCATTCATGTATCTCAGATTCATTCATGTATCTCAGATGGGGACATGGAACAGTTGAGGGCTAAATAGGCATCTCTCTCCACAAGGTTCTCTACCTGGGTAGCTGGACCTCTTTTCTGGTAGCTCAGGCAATCAGGAGGGACCATTCCAAGAGGACAAGCCCCAAAATACAAGTACTTATCAAACCTTGTTAATGTCCTAATGGCTGAAGCAAGTCAAATGCCCAAGCCCAGCATCAATGTGGTATAGGGCATGAATCCTGGGAGGTGTGGTTCACCGGGATTGCCAACATAACAGTATAACACAATATCACAAAGCAAAATTACTTAACCTTTTAAAGCCTTAGTGTGCTCATCTGTAAGATATAGCTGTTCTAAGAATTGTTCAAGATAAAAATAAGACATAGAAGATAAAGTAGCGAGAACAGACATGGCAGACAGGAGAGTCTAACAAATGTTAGTTTATTTCCCATTCACGCCTCAATCCCCGAAATATCCCACCCAAGAAAGAGCCTTAATGATGAAATTATGTTTAACAATTACTTCATTCACACACTTTTTGGCTGAACAGGAGCAGGGACTCAGATGCTTCTTGGTGAGAGAAGTTAAACAAATCAGTCCACATTGAGGTTGACTACTTCCCGCTAGTGAGTTGGAGAGTGCACCAGTCCACATATATTCATATGCCTGTACTGACTGCCATAAGGCCTAGAAAGCCTAGGGGCAGGGGAGAGACGGGGCAAGGATGATGTGGTAAAATGTGAATCTTGTCTTCTATTAAGTGTTTAGTACATATCAACATGTGATGAACTGGGAGAGCTCCAAGAGGAATGAGTGTCGGAAAGGACAAGAGGGGGAAAGGTCTGAGGCAGTAAGCCAGTCCGATAACAGAATTATGGGGGGAATGTTGCCTCCAGGGGTCAATAAGCCACCTAATACCAGAAATTTTCCTACCCCAGCCACCCTGGAAAGCACTTATGCATTCTGGGAGAAAGTGGCTACAGGTAGTACATATGAATTGAAAGGGCTGTACTTTCAGGTCCAAAAGATTCTGGTATCAGACACCCCCTGGTTTAAGCATGGTAGAGAGGGAGGAGGTATTTTCCTTCTCATCTCCAAAAGCATTCTGGCTGAGATCTACACAAAGGTGGTGACTGAGGCAGCAGCTACTGCAGCAATGATGACACAGAGAACAGGCAACTCGATCAGAGTGGTGCCTCTGCAGAGCTGCTAGGGCCTGAATTCTGCAGTCCAGGTACGCCATGGCCCTGGTGACAACAGTAGAGATCCAACTCTGCCCACTGTCATAGCTCAGGTACTCAAAACAAATGAAGCCAGAGGGAACAGGGGCAGTAACTCTGCCAGAATGGAATTTCTGCAGGACTTTTGGGGCTGAGCTGTGATGTTCCACTTTGACTAGTCAAGACAGGAAGTAAAAGATATTGCTAATCACTACATTACTTTGAGATTTAGGCAACCTTGCTGCTGGACTTCTTTGCCAAAGGAAGCCTATTCTCTCTTACCAAGAGCTATAAACACTGATCTGCAGCTTTACCAGAGACAATACCAAAAACCAAATCCACTGGTGTCAAGTCGATTGTAACCCCATAGCGTATCCAAGGCTGTTAAATCTCTATGGAAGCAGACTGACACATCTTTCTCCGGAATAGCTGCTGGTGGTTTCAAACTGCCAACCTTTAGGTTAGCAGTCCAGCACTGTAACCACTACACCACCACAGACAATAGTGGCATTAAATTTTTATTAATGGTATTCTAATTTCACCGATTATCTGACACAATGGATTTTCAGCTTCACTAATGATGATCATGGTGGTAACAATGGATAACGAAGTGAAATTCCAGAATAGCACTGGAGTGGAATCATCAGTCCTCAACTGGCCACAGACAATGACCAGGTCTAGTTAAAAGATATTTGTATGTAGTATTCCCAAAGCTTCTGGAAACTATTTGAGTAGAAAGGTCCAAAAAGAACTAAACTTCATGCTGGAAAGTGAACAGAAGCTCAGTGTACTGCGATTTAGGTATTAAGGAAAATGTAACCACTTTTGTACTCAGAGGTTGCTAAAGCCTGCGACATTCAGGTTACACTTTGTTTTACCTAAGAATCCATCAGTAGAATCCTTTCATCAGTAGAATCCTTTACGTAGCTCTTCTGGTACACTTAGAATTTTTCGATGAACAATTGGACTTCACACAACTTAAAAATTAACATATACATTTCTTAAATAGGGTATAAGTAAGTTCTAATTACCCATGGTGGGTTAACCACATATGGATGCAGAAGTGGTATTCTACTCTTAGGTTTAGTCTCTGTGACTTAAGGGTTTGTAACAAAGTGAAACAAAGTACACCTCTCCTCTGCAAATCTGCATGGATATTCGCTGGCACACAATATATAAAAGACTGGAAATAGCCTAACTAACAATATGGGAATGATTAGATAATTCATCGTTACAAATGGAGTATTTCACAGCCAGTAAAAATTACATTTGTGAAGAACATTAAATGACGTGGAAATGGTTACAATATAACATTCAAAGAAAAAAGTAGGACACTAAACTACACATACAATGTGACTATAGCTTCATTTAAAGAGAGGGAGGGAAACAAAAAGAGAAACCAAGAAACAGAAAGCCTAAAAGGAAATATACGAATATACTAAAATGTTTAAATTTATCTCTAGACAGCAAGGTTACAAGTAACTTTTACTTTCTTTCAGGAACTTTTTTTGTATTATCTAATTTTCCTGCAACCAAAATAGTTTCATAATCAGTGAGAAAACAATACATGTCATTTTTAAAATTACTATGACACTTTCAGCTCACATACTGCAAAGAACAGAATGGCCTACTCACTAAGTCAAGAAGCTTTAAATTCAGAGGATACAGACTTCTACAAAACTTATTTTATTACAAAGATAGTACCTGCATAGAAATTATACTACTAACAAATACAGTTTATGTATTATCCTTAGAAATTAAAAAAATACTGATAGACGAGTATTAGAAATAGTTGAATCTTTGATAGTAGGAGAAATTTATAGGCTGTTTTTTATTGATTTTTATAATGAGTTATTATTCAAGTCAAGCTTATTGCAGATTAAAAAACACACACACACCATCATTATTTGTGTCCAGACTATTAAATGCCAGCCTCATTTTTTTCTCATGGTCTTGAAGGTACTGCACAAATTCTTCAAAGTCCAATTTTGAATCTTTGTTGGTATCTCCAGCTTTAAAAATTACCTACAAGAAAAAAGAAACTCATTGCAGAGACGTACAGCAAATAAAGGCACTGCACTATGCTAACATCTACATGTTTCACTCATACTAATTATGATTTCCATAAGCATCCATTATCCTAGTTTTTCAGTCACAGCTACATGGCTAAGTAGTTAAATTTTGCAATCTGTACAATACTAGAATCGATAACCACCATGCCATTCCAAATAATTATGAATCTTGCCGTTTAACAATTTAAATGCATTAAGTATTTACCTGAGGTAAACAATGAATGCCAAATACTATGAGAGATATAAAGATTCTAAGATACACAGCCTTTGCCATCAAGGACCCCACAATATGAAGTAAAATATGTGAAATTCTAGCATGTCCCACAGCTTATTAGTTTGAGACTAGCCTTGTAAAGTAAGCGTGTATGTTCAGAGATCACTGGGACTTCTGCTTTTTGAAGTAAAAGAAATGATAATCATAATTAAAAACACACACACATTATATGTATTTCCAGTGGAGTCCTACTGCAAAGGCATAGGCCATCTCTTGTCCACCTTTGTGCCAGCAATGCCTACCATAAAGCACGGTATACATAGATTCTTTCTTTCCTTCTTTCTTTTTTCCTTGTGCTTTAAGTGAAAGTTTACAGCTCAAGTTACTTTCTCATACAAAAATTTATACACACATTGTTATGTGACCCTAGTTTCTCTCCCTATAATGTGACAGCACACTCCTTTCTATCCCCAATTTCCCGTGTCCATTCAACCAGCTCATGTCCCTTTTTGCCTTCTCATCTCGCCTCTGGACAGGAGCTGCCCAGTTAGTCTCATGAATCTACTTGAGCTAAGAAGCATTCTCTTCACAAGTATCATTTTATGTCTTATAGTCCAGTCTAATCTTAGTCTGAAGAGTTGGCTTCGGGAATGGTTTCACTTCTGGGCTAACAGAGAGTTGTGGGGGCCGTGTCTTCCGGGGGTCCCTCTAGTCTCAGTCAAATTATTAAGTCTCGTCTTTTTACTAGAAATTGAGTTCTGTACCCCACTTTTCTCCTACTCCCTTCAGGGACTCTCTGTTGTGTTCCCTGTCAGGGCGGTCATTGGTGGTAGCCAGGCACCATCTAGTTCTTCTGGTTTCAGGCTGATGGAGTCTCTGGTTTATGGGGTCCTTTCTGTCTCTTGGGCTAATATTTTCCTTGTGTCTTTGGTGTTCTTCATTCTCCTTTGCTGCAGGTGGGTTGGGACAAACTGACGCATCTTAGTTGGCCGCTTGCTAGCTTTTAAGACCCCAGATGCCACTCACCAAAATGGGATGCAGAACATTTTCTTAAAAACTTTGTTATGCCAATTGACCTAGATGTCCCCTGAAAGCATGGTCTCCAGGCCCCCACCCCTGCTACTGTCCCTCAGTGTTTGATTGCATTCAGGAAACTACTTAGCTTTTGCTTTAGTCCAGTTGTGCTGACTTCCCCTGTAGTGTGTGTTGTCCTTCCCTTCACCTAATATAATTCTTATCTACTATTTAGTTAGTGAATATCCCTCTCCCTCCCTCCCCACCCTCGTAACCATTTAAGAATATTTTCTTCTGTGTTTAAACCTTTTCTTGAGTTCTTATAATAGTGGTCTCATACAATATTTGTCCTTCTGCGAATGACTAATTTTACTCAGCATAATGCCCTCCAGATTCCTCCATGTTATGTTTCACGGCTTCATTGTTGTTCTTTATTGTTGCGTAGTATTCCATTGTGTGGATATACCATAATTTGTTTATCCATTCGTCTGTTAAGGGCACCTAGGTTGTTTCCATCTTTTTGCTATTGTGAACAATGGTGCAATGAACAGGGGTGTTCATATCTATTCGTGTGTTGGCTCTTATTTCTCTAGGATATATTCCAAGGAGTAGGATTGCTGGATTGTATAGTACTTCTATTTCTAGCTTTTTAAGGAAGCACCAAAACAATTTCCAAAGTGGTGGTACTCACATTCCCACCAGCAGTGTCTCTACAACCTCTCCAACATATATTATTTTGTGTTTTTTGGATTAATGCTAGCCTTGTTGGGGTGAGATGGTATCTTATTGTAGTTGTGATTTCCATTTCTCCAATGGCTAATGATCATGAGCATTTCTTCATGTATCTGTTAGCTGCTTGAATGTCTTCTTTGGTGAAGTACCTATTCGTATCCTTTGCTCGTTTTTAATGGGGTTGTCTTTTGTTGCTGAGGTTTTGCAGTTTCTTGTAGATTTTAGAGATTAAACACTGATCGGATATGTCATAGTCAAAAATTTTTTCCCAGTCTGTAGGTTTTCTTTTGACTCTTTTGGTGAAGTCTTTTGATGAGCACAAATGTTTGATTTCTAGGAGCTCCCAGTTATCTAGTTCTTCTGGTGTTTGTGCATTGTTAGTAATGTTCTGTATTCTGTTTATGCCATGTATTACGACTGCTAGTGTTGTTCTTATTTTGTCTTCTCTTTATCATTTTAGATTTTATATTTTGGTCTTTGATCCATTTTGAATTGGTTTTTGTACATGTGTGAGGTATGGGTCTTGTTTCATTTTTTTGCAGATGAATATCCAGTTATGCCAGCACCATTTGTTAAAGAGACTGTTTTCCCGAATTAATGGACTTTGGGCCTTTGTCAAATATCAGCTGCTCGCAGGTGGCTGAATTTATGTCTGGATTCTCAATTCTGTTCCATTGGTCTATGTACCTGTTGTTGTACCACTATCAGGCTGTTCTGACTACCATGGTAGTATGATAGGTTCTAACATCAGAAAGTGTGAGGCCTCCCACTTTGTTCTTCTTCTTCAGTAATGCTACTTATCCAGGGCCTCTTCTCTTTCCATATGAAGTTGGTGATTTGTTTCTCCATCTCATTAAAAAATGCCATAGGAATTTGGATTGGGGTTGCATTGTATCTGTAGATTGCTTTGGGTAGAAAAGACATTTTCACAACGTTGAGTCTTCCTATCCATGAGCAAGGTATGTCTTTCCACTTGCAGATCTCTTTTGGTTTCTTGAAGTAGTGTCTTGTAGTTTTCATTGTACAGGTCTTTCACGTCTCTGATTAGATTTACTCCTAAGTATTTTATCTTCTTGGGAGCTATTGTAAATGGTATTGATTTGATGATTTCCTCTTGGAAGTTCTCTTTGTTGGTGTAGAGGAATCCAACTGATTTTTGTATGTTTATCTTGTATCCTGATACTTTGCTGAAATCTTCTATTAGTTCCAGTAGTTATCTTGTGGTTTCTTTGCGGTTTTCTGTTTATAAGATCATATCATCTGCAAATGAGATACTTTTACTTCTTCCTTACCAATTTGGATGTGCTTGACTTCTTTTTCTAGCCTAACTGCTCTGGCTAGGACCTCAAGCACAATGTTGAATAAGAGTAGTGATAAGGGGCATCCTTGTCTGGTTCCCATTCTCAAGGGGAATGCTTTTAGATGCTCTCCATTTAGGATGATGTTGGCTGCTGGCTTTGTATAAATGCCCTTAATTATGTTGAAGAATTTCCCTTCTATTCCTATTTTGCGGAAAGTTTTTGTCATGAATGGGTGTTAGATAAGATCATGTGGTTCTTGTCTTTTGTTTTATTTATGTGATGGATTTCACTGATTGTTTTTCTAATGTTGAAACATCCCTGCATACCTGGTATGAATCCCACTTGGTCACGGTGAATTATTTTTTTGATATGTTTTTGAATTCTATTGGCTAGGATTTTCTTGAGGATTTTTGCGTCAATGTTCATGAGGGATATTTGTCTGTAATTTTCTTTCTATGTGGTGTCTTTACCTGGTTTTGCTATCAGGGTTATGCCGGCTTCATAGAATGAGTTTGGGAGTATTCCATCCTTTTCTATGCTCTGAAATACCTTTAGTAGGGGGGGTGTTAACTCTTCTCTGAAAGTTTGGTAGAATTCTCCAGTGAAACCCTCTGGGCCAGGGATTTTTTTTTTGTGGTTGGGAGTTTTTTAATTACCTTTTCAACTCTTCTTTTTATTATGGGTTTATTTAGTTCTTCTACCTCTGTGTTAGTTTAGGTAGATAGTGTGTTTCTAGAAATTTGTCCATTTCCTCTAGGTCTTCAAATTTGTTAGAGTACAATTTTTCATAGTATTTTGTTATAATTCTTTTAATTTCATTTGGGTCTGTTGTAATATCATCCATCTCATTTCTTATTCCAGTTATTTGCTTCCTCGCTTGTTTTTCTTTTGTCAGTTTGGCCAATGGTTTATTGATTTTGTTGATGTTTTCAAAGAACCAGCTTTTGGTCTTGATAACTCTTTCAACCATATTCTTATTTCATTTAATTCTGCTCTAATTTTATTATTTGCTTTCTTCTGGTGTCCGAGGTTTTGTTTTGCTGTTCTCTTTCTATTTGTTCGAGTTGTAGGGTTAATGTTTTGATTTTGGCCCTTTCTTCTTCTCGGATGCGTGCATTTATTGCTATAAACTGACCTCTGAGCACTGCTTTTGCTATGTCCCAAAGGTTTTGGTAGGATGTGTTTTCATTCTCATTTAATTCTGTGAATTTCTTTATTCTGTCCTTAATTTCTTTTATAACCCAGTAGTTTTTGAGCAAGATGTTTTTCAGTTTCCATGTATTTGATGTTTTTCCTTGCTTTTTCTGTTATTAATTTCTATTCTTATGGCTCTGTAGTCAGAAAAGATGCTTTGTAATATTTTGAGGCTTTGGATTCTGTTAAGGCTTGCTTTATGGCCTAATATTTGGACTCTTAGGGAGAATGTTCCATGTGCGTTGGAAAAGAAAGTGTACTTGGCTGCTGTTGGGTGGAGTGTTCTGTACATGTCTTTGAGATCAAGTTGGCTGATTGTGTCATTTATTATCTTCCATGTTTTTACTGAGCTTCTTTCTGGATGTTCTGTCCTTCACCGAAAGTGGTGTGTTGAAGTCTCCTACTATTATTGTGGAGCTGTCTATCTCCCTTTCCAATTCTGTTTGAGTTTGCTGTATGTATTTTGGAGCCCTGTCCTTGAGTGGGTAAATATTTATT